GTCTTGCAACTCTCATTCCAATACCTCAACTGGTTGCTCAGAAATCGTCTTTAGACGTGTACAATAAAAAAATAAAAAACCGCGAAAAAAGCCTCCAAAGTTTAAAAATTAATTTTGATGGCACCAGTCTCTAGAATGTAACCAAATTTACACCACATTTACACTGAAGCCTTTCTAATCGAGTCTAGTAACTCTTATTCGAACATCTCAACTGATTGCTCGGAAATCGTCTTTCAAAATCTAGGATGAAAAAATAAAAACACCGGCAGAAACCCTTCCATGTTTAAAAATTCATTTTGATGGTACCAGTGTCATCAATGGAACCAAATTTACTCCACATGCAAACTGAAGCCTTTTTATCGAGCCTTGCAACTCTCATTCCAATATTTCAACTGATTGCTCAGAAATCGTCTTTAGACGTCTACGATGAAAAAATAAAAAACCGCGAAAAACACTCCAAATTTATAAAAATAATTTTGATGGCACCAGTAGCTTGAATATAACCAAATTTTTACAACATGTAGTCTGAAGCTTTCCTGATAAAACGTTAAAACCCCCATCACGATGCATCGATTAGTTGCTCAGAAATCGTCTTTAGACGTGTACGATGACAAAATGTGAATGCTTTCTCAAAAAAGCTTGCTTAGTTGCTTGAAAAGGTCTAAAATGCAACGTTTGTGCCAATTATTTTTTATATTTATTTTCAGACCATTTTAATCAAAAAAAATGTCTTAAAACCATACATACAGGGTGTACAAACCTTGAAATATAAGAAATGTGGCAAGATATGCCACATTTCTGGCTAACTGAAAGTTGCACTTTTTCTATTAAATATTTTCTAAGCCAGAGACCATATTGAACTGAATATTTGTACAGTTATCTACAAAGTCTTCGTCCATAAGTGGTCAAACGTTCTAAATTAAATCGGGAGCAGTTTAAAACTTTTTAATTTGAAACTACGGGCATGCACATCTCAGACTAAGTGACCACGTTTCAAAGCGACACTTTGTATTTATTTTTATCTTAAAGGGCTTCTTTTATAGATTTCAAAAAAGTAAAAAAAAAACATTTGCCTCGATTTTTTGTTTAGTAGCTGCAATTTTTTAAGCACGTACTTGCACCTTTGGGCCAAACTTCTCACTAACTGAAAGTTTCTGATTTTCTAAAAAATCAATGAGTGAAGGGAATCAAATGGCATTCAGCACACTCATCAACCAGGGCTTCGTCCATAAGTGTGCAAAAGCTCCAAAATTCACCTCTTCTGGTTTACGAATCCCGATTTTTTAAAACCGAGCGCGCTCTCTTTGAGTTGCATTTCCGACTGTCTGAAATTTTGAAAGCTTCCAGATAATCAAAGAGTCGCCGAAATCAATTAAAATTTCGTAAATTCATCGACAAAGGCTTCTTTTCTCCGTCTTCTAAAGTTCAAATTTCTATCAGTCTCAGTGCGAATTCAGTGATTTTTTTATTCTGGACATGCACTTTTGAGGCCGCATTTCCGCCTTCAACGTTTCTAGAAAGTGGACGAGTGGTCGAAACCAAGTAAACTTTCAAACATTTATCTATTAAAGCTTAATCAAAAGATGAAAGTTCTGTCGCTTTTATATCGGTCTACAGTTTAGTAGCTGCGATTAAAAGTACAAAGATACACTTTTGGATCAGAATTTTTCTGACGAAGCGAAAGTTGCACATTTTTCAGAAAATAAGCGACTCTTTCGGAGCAAATAAAACACTGTGCGCTTGTAGACAAAATATTCTTCCACTGAAGTTCAAAAGTGTAAAATTCCAGCACTCCCAGTGTAGAATCTGTGATTTTTTAAGAACGGATATGCACTTTTTGAGCCAAATTTCGGACTTACTGAAAGTTTCTCAGTTCCTATAAAATCAACAGGTAATCAGAACCAAATTAAATTTTGCACGCTTCAATCAACAAACTCTTTTTCTATAAGCTACCAAAAGTTCTAATTTCTATTTGATTCAGTGTACAATCTGTGCATTTTTAATTACAGACATGCACGTTTGGAGCCACATTTCCACCTAACTGAGCGGTTCAAAGTCAGAGTTTATGCAAAGTCGATGTGTTATGGGAATCAAGTAATTTTTTTTCCGTCAAGTTTTTTAAATTCAAAATTCCATCGCATTTAGATCAGAAGCTGGTATTTTTCAAGTACAAACGTGCTCTTTTTGGGCCACATTTCTGGCTTGCTTAAAGTTTCGGAGTTTCTAAAATATCAACGAGAACTATTGACTGAAATTGTCTACGCGCATCAATAAAGATTTATTCTATGGGTGTTGAAAAGTTCAAATCTATATCAGACTCGGTGTGAAATCTGCGATTTTTTAATTGCCGAAATGCACTGTTGGGTCACATTTACGCCTAACTGAAATATTCAAAGTTTGTGTAACATCAACGGGTGACCAGGCAGATTAAAGTTCGCAAACTTATCAACAAAGGTTTATTCTCTAAGTGTTGGAAAGTTCAAAGTTATTTCGAATTCAGTATAGAACCTGTGATTTTTTAATTAGGAACATGCACTTTTGAGCTACATTTCTGTAGCTCTGCAACTGAAACCCTGCAAGTTTGTTGAACGTAAACGAGTTATCAAAATCAAATAAAAGTTCGCAGTTCTATTGCTCAAACCTTCTGTCATAAGTGTTCAAAGATTCAAAATTCTATCGCCTTCTGTTTAGGAGTTATGATTTTTTATCAACGCACGTGCACCAACATGCTACAATTCCGTCTAACCCAAATTTGGAAATTTTGTATAAAATCAACGAAGAATGGAAATYACACGATTTTTCGAGCACTCATCAATRAAGGTTTTTTTTATAAGTGTTCGAAATTTAATCGCTTCCCGGTTTGGAGTTTCAATTTTTTTARCAACTGAAAATGAAGAWATSCACTYAGGTCCTAAGTCCGACTAACTGAAAGTTGCAGATTTTCTAGAAAATGAACGAGTGSGCAGAATCAAACGAAATATTGTACATTTATCAAAAAAAGCTTCTTCTATAAGTGTACCAAAGTTCATCATTCCAGCACCTCCAGTTTAGGAGCTTTGATTTTTTATGTACTTACCTGCTGACATGCACTTTGAGCCGCATTTTGACAGAAATGCAGCTGATAGTTGCATATTTTTTTCAAAATTAAGGAGTGATTGGAATGAAATGAAATTTCGTACACTTATCAACTGAACCTTCTTCTGTAAGAGTACAAAAGTGCATAACTCCAACTTCCATAGTTTAGGAGTTTTTATGTTTTAAGTACAGACATTTGAACATTTCTAATAAACGGAATGATGGAGTATTCCTAGAAAACAACGAATGTTTTCAATCAAAAAAATAGATTTTAAATACTTGCCTGATGACAGAACTTCCGTAAACACCTGAGGGGGCACTAAGGCCCCAAATATGTGTCAAAAAGTGTTGGTGTTTGGGAAAAACATCCCTTGGTCTAGCCATATTGACGTTGAAGGGTATATTTTACTATGGACAAAGTCAAAACAAACGCACTCAATATCAAAAAAGTTTTTCCATTGAGCCACTTTTCATTTTTTTTTCGTTTTAAGCAAATTCGATTGCATTATTTACAAACAGTCGTCAATAATGA